CCCCTAAAAAAAAAAAAAACAAACAAACAAAAAGAACATTTCACTGGATCAAAAAAATTGAGAACATTCAACTCAACTTGACAAGCTTCTAGCAAACCATCGAGAAACAAGGGTTGATGGATTTAAGATATAAAGCATACACCCACTCAAACAATGAAAGACAAATGCTTTCACAGAGCATGGAATGGTGCCCAAGCGGGAAAAAAATGTCACCAAGTATATCATCTAACTTATCTCAAGACCAGAGAAATGTCGAAGTAATATGTAGAATGTTGGAATATTTAAATTAAGAGTATATTGGAAATGAGAAGAGAGATTTGTGAACACTAATTTTTCTCCTCAACCCTAATTTTCTCCTTTCTTGCCTCTTCTATCTTCTAAACCCTAAAACCTAAGAACTTGAAAATTCAATTTTTTGGATCAGAGCGATCTCACAAAAATTCGAAGTCACTGGAATATTCAAGAAGGCGTTGGGAGACTACTAGTGTTGCTGACATCATCATTGGAATGATGATGCCATCATCAGAATGATGATGTCATAGCCGGAGTTGATCAAAGTCAACAAAGTCTGGCTTGGTTTTGCCTCCTAAGTATCATGGTGATTTTTCTGGAATTTTTTGAAGCCATCTGATATATTTTTTCGACTTTTGGATGTTTTTCAAAATTTATGGGTCATATTTCGCGATCTACTGTTTGCCCGAGTTTGCAACCATTCCAACTCTACTAGAGCAACCTTTGGGTGCCAACTAAGCCTCCTAGGAACTCTGGTTGAGTTCTATGCACAACTTGCTGGGGTTTTGGGCAATTTCGGATCTCGACAGGTAGCTTTCTGACTCCGGCAGGTAGCTTTTGGCGCCGGCAGGTAGCTTTTTGGCCTGGGCAGTGGTTTTTGGATCTCGGCAGGTTCTTTTTTGGCATTGGCAGTGGTGTGTTGCTCCGACAGGTGTTTTTTTTTGGCCTGGCCAGTGGAGTGTTGCTCCAGCCATGGTTCAAAGTCGTGGTATTGGTTGTTGACTCGGAAGGTATTGATACACATCGGTCGCAGTGTCACCGCACGGTATCGGGCAATATGCAAAAATCATGAAAATTATATAAAAATATAAAGAATAGCATTTAAACATCATAAGCTCAAAATATATCATCAAACACATCAAATTTGGTGAAATTGAAATATAAAAACGTTACCAAAAATATTTAACATCATTAGCATATAGTTTTCGAATTTTTTGATATTTAAAAATACTAAACATGTAAAGATGGACCCATAATAAATTATAAATGGCTATATAAATTATAAATCTACATCCAAATCTAATGTAATTTAATATTTAATTTTAGATTAAATTTAAAAATGAAAATAAATTCAATTATATACCACAAAGATAATTTAACAATTATAATGTAAATTAAAAAAGTATTTTTACCCACTAAAAAGTAACTAATAAAAACTTACCTAGTCAAAAAAATAAGAGCCCCTATTTAAAGCCTTAAGAGTCTGGGTACACACGATGTTGGCAAATGCTTCGTCTACACACAAACGCACAGACGGACGAATCAAAAATCTTAAGAGAGAGAAAATATGAGATGGCTGTGATCGATGGCTCTCATTCTCCCCAATGGGTTACAAGGAGAAAGAAGTTTACTTCTCTGGCCAGCCTTGTCAATTTAGGGTTGATATATTGCTAATTTTCAGGTGGGTTTTTGCTTCTAGGTCCATGATTTTTGATGTGTTTCCTATCATTCTTAATACTTTTATTTTTTATGCACAGTTGAACAAAAGCTTCACATGGATCTCATCTTTTCTTCTTCCTTTCTGTTTTGCTTTTGGTTTTTCTTTTTTATTGAGAATTTGGGGATTTTGAAGAAGACTACACTATATCAAGCCAATTTCAATTTGACTCGTTCGAGTCATTCCGAGTCAACTTCGAGTTGTCCCGATATGACCGAGTTATTACCGAGTCAACACCGATTCATGTAAGACTCGGGATATTTGGGTAACGCATATCATTAACAAATCGGTGGTGGCCGAGTCAGATACAAATCGACCGAGTCGTATCAGACTCAGCCAATACTTTGATCCCCAGCTCCAACTGGTTGTTTTTTGGCCTTGGCAGTTTGAGCGTTGTGTTTTGAGAGTTGTGGCATCTCTAAAGATTGTTTTGGAGTTGCCAGCTCCTAGTTTGGTTCCCTTTTTATTGGGCTAGTCCCAAAATTGCTATTTGTTAGTTGAGTTATGTAAGAAAGGTTCCCTTTTGAGAGTAGACATGTCTGGAGTCTATGTAGAATCTACCAGTACTATGAAGAGTTAGTTGAGTCGTGTAGAGACTCTTAGATATAACCCTTCTCTCCAGATTAGTCCAGGAAAATTAGATGGGAGCAACTATTTCACCTGGTCCGAATCATGCATCTTATCGACGCAAGCAAGTGGATTGAATGGATACTTGACAAGAGCAAGTAAGAAACTCAAATCTAAATTAGACCTCTAGATCTCTAAGCATTTGTTGGCCATGACATGATTAATCAACTCAATACAACACCATATAATCCGTGATTTCCTGTTTCTCGAGACAGCTAGAGCTCAGACTTATTCCTACGTTGAGAATGATGCCCAAAATTTATGGAGAGATTCCAGAAGAAAATTCATGAAACCAAATAGAGAGATATGACTATTGCAAAGCATTATGCTAGATTAAGTAGTTTGTGGCATAAACTAGATTATTTCTAGGATTTTCAAGCATATTATGCTAGAGATAGTGCTAAGTTTTAAAATTTGATAAAGAAGAAACGAGTATATAACTTTTTTGCATGTCTCAATATAGAGTATGAACTGATCCGCATACAAGTTTTGGGAAGAGATCATTTTCCTTCTTAGAGGCAAGCATATGCTCATGTGCAGCACGTGCAGAGTAGGAAGAGTGTCATGCTTCATAATCCCACTCAAGATCAATCATCTCTAACAACTATTCCATAGAGAGAAAACAGATCCTTTCAGCATCATAGTGATGGAAAAATGATAGTTTTGAAAAAGATTTGATAAAATCTGATTACTATGGCAAGATGAGGCACACTAAAGACCATTGTTGGAATCTATATGGTCATCCTTTTAGGGAGTACGGTGGTAATAGGGCTAGTATGTGCGCCCATATGCCCAGACGACTGAGATTGCTAATCCTTCCTCCTCCAATGGTCCATCTCCATCTACTAGTGCTGATCTTGCGAGTTTCACTACAAATGAGATGCAGGCTCTTAGGATCTGATGGCCCGACTTGATACTTCTTCTGCATCTGCTTCCACTTCTGTTGTTTCCAACTTTGCTCACACACATATACATGTCGGTACTTTTACTACCACTTGTTCTCCTAATTCTTGGATTATCAATTCCAGAGCCACTAATCATATGACTGGTTCTTTCCTTCTCATTGTGTCTTTCAAGAACTAGGAACAGGGAGAATAATTGCCAGTGATAGAGCTCATTGTGGTTTATATCTGTTGGAGAATCAATCTTTTCTGGCACTTTAAGCTTCTAGTTGACTTTCTTTGTGATACTTGTGCATTTGCCAAGCATACAAGAATTTCTTATCCTAGTAATAACAATAGAAACACTACTCCATTTATGATTGTTCATTTTGATGTATGGGACCATCCCATCATGTTTCCCTTCTTGGATTGATAGTTTGTTACTTTTATTAACTGCTACACTCAGGTTCCTAGGGTAAACTGGTAAATACTTAATTTGATGCCAAAATTAAAGTTCTCAGGGCTGATATTAGGACTAAGTACGTTAATGGAGAATCCCGAGTACTTTAATGGAGAATCCCGAGCTTATCTTACGGAACATAGAATTCTTTACCAATCTAGTGCTATGGATACATGTGAGCAGAATGGTGTAACAAAGAGGAAGAATTGACATCTTTTTTTAAGTAGCGTACTCCTTGATGTTTACTATGAGTGTCCCTTTGTCTTTTTGGGAAAATGCAATACTTATTATTACATATCTCATCAATCGAATGCCTTCGAAAATTCTTGACTTTGTCACTCCTATAGGGTTTTGCTTCAAAGGTCAGTTTCTCCTTACTCTATCCCTCCATAGGTGTTTGATTGTTTGTGTTTTGTACATGATTATCGAAGGACCAAGGGAAAGTTGGATCCCAAGGCGTTGCATTGTCTTCATTGACTACCCTACTACCCCATAGGAGGAATAAGTGTTATCATCCTCAGTCTTAAAAGGTCTATGTTAGAATGGATGTCACATATTACAAGTCAGGGTCGTATTTCTCACTCTTCTAGGATCTCTCCTGGTAGAGCAGTGTATCGAAGAATAGATGCTAGAGGGAGTACTCTTTATCATACCTCCCAATCAATGCTTTAGTTAGGAAGAGAGATCTAGTCACACGGAGTGTCAAGGAAAAACACCTATTGAAGGGGAGCAGACTACTTGTGGAAGATTGGATTGGGATAATTTGCGATGTTATACTTGACGACAAACTAAGCAAATCACCACTCGTGTGCCACCAAGTCAATCATCATCTCCTGACTCAGTTTCTAAGATCTCCTCCCCAACATCAAGTAATAGCCCTCCTTGTAGTAATCTTGTATATAATAGTTTTTAGCTATTGTTATTCGAAAAAGAGTTCAAATTTGTACCCCACATCATATTTCTTAATTTGTTTTTTAAAACTCTGTCTTCCTCCTATTGTGTTTTTTTTGTCTCTGTCTTCTATATTTCTTCCTCAATGTTGGAATGAAGCCCTAGCAGAGTCAAGGGCAATGATGAATTCCATTCGTGTCATTCTTTCTTGAGCTATCTAAAATGAGATCTACAACAACTGGATGTAAAGAATGTATTTCTTCACGGGAACTTGGAGAAAGAAGTATACATGGATATTCCCCTGCATTTCTCTTTTCCAACTACTGAGAGAAAAGTATGTAAGTTAAAGAAATTTCGTTATGAATTAAAACAATCTCCTAAAGCTTGATTTGACAAATTCCATAAGGCAATGATAAGGTTTGGGTACAAGCAATGTTCATCAAACAAGTGGTAAAATCTCAATTCTTATAATATATATTGATAACATAATACTCACACTCATAATGATGATGAAGAGTAAGTATACAAACTAAAAGTTCACCTTGCTAAAGAATTTGAGGTCAAAAATTTGGGGTGTTTATGCTATTTCTTAGGGATTGAAGTGGTCAAATCAAATAAAGACATTTTCATCTTACATAGAAAGTATATCCTTTATTTTCTGAAGAAAACAAATAAGTTAGGTTGTGGACATGCAAAATCACCTATTGAGACAAACCACAAACTAAGAAGTGATGAAGGTGATCAAGTTAATAGATAAAAATATCAGAGACTTGTTGAGAAACTCGTATACCTTTCTCACATTCGCCTAGACATAGCAAATGCAGTGACTGTTGTTAGCCAGTCCATGCATGCTCTGCGAGTCCCTCATCAAGAGGCAGTTCATCGTATACTGAGATATCTCAGACTCAAATCATCTCCAAGCAAAGAAATATTATTCTCAAAGTAGGATCATCTGCGATTAGAAGCTTCACAGAAGCAGATTGGGTGGCTGTGGCTCAATTGATGATAGGAGGTCTACTATAGGTTATTTGTACATTTGTAAGAAGAAATCTAATTACCTGGCAATGCAAGAAACAAGAAGTGGTTGCTAGATCTAGTGTAGAGGTAAAATACAAGACTATGGCTCATGGTATTTGTGAGCTTATGTGGCTGAAAACCTTAATGGAAGACTTAGGTGTCTCTAACAGAGAAACCTAAGCGTTTGTATTGTGTTAATGAGGCTGCCATAAATATTGCTTACAATTCAGCATGACAAAAGAATGCACATTGAGATTGACAGACACTTCATCAAAGAGAAGCTAAATAATGGGTTAATTTATATGCCCTTTCTGACATCCAAGGAACAATTGGCCGATGTGTTTACCAAGGGACTTAGTAGTAGAATTTTTCATTTAGATGTATGCAAGTTATGCATGAAAAATATCTATGTTCCAACTTGAGAGGGACCCTAGAATGTTGGGATATTTTAATTAAAGAAATAATTGTAATTTGCAGTCTATTATGAGTTAATATAAATATAGGTGATGAGAGGACAGATTTGTGAACTCTATTTCTTCTAAACCCTAAAACTTAAGGACTTGATATTTCAACTGCATAACACACGTGCATCCCCCCCCCCTCC